AATCAGCAGGATCGGCAGTGACGCCTGTGTCGCTCGAGGAGCATCTCCGTGGGCAAGAGGGCCAGATAAGACAACTGGAGACCGCTCTACAGGAGGTAATCAACACCTTGCACCGATGGGAGGCCAGTAGGGTACCCACACCTCCACCTACCCTGCCCACCCCATCGGTCGGTCCACCAGTCCCAGGTTCGGAACCCAGGGGGATTCGGCTCTCGCTCCCGAGGGCGTATGACGGAACAGCTGCCGGGTGTCAGGGGTTCCTCCTGCAGGTGGAGCTCTACCTGGCCACTGTACACCCGGTGCCCTCGGGATACGAGAGCGTTTCCGCCCTCATCTCCTGTCTCACGGGCAAGGTGTTGGAGTGGGCTAACGCCGAGTGGAGGAAGATGGACGCCAACACCATCACCTACGCCGAGTTCTCCCGCCGCTTCAAGGCCGTGTTCGACCATCCACCTGAGGGCAAAGCGGCGGGGGAGCGTCTCGTCCATTTGAGACAGGGGAAGAGGAGCGCTCAGGTGTTCGCTCTAGAGTACCGGACTCTAGCGGCGGATGCAGGGTGGAATGAACGGGCTCTCATCGACCATTTTCGATGTAGCCTACGAGAGGACGTTCAACGTGAGTTGGCCTGCAGGGATACCCATCTTACCTTCGACCAGTTGGTCGATATGTCCATCCGTCTGGACACCCTGCTGGCCACCCGTGGACGTCCCGAGGGGAGTCCGTCCATTCCGCCCTCCGGCACCTCCGAGCCGAGCCCTATGGAGCTCGGGGGTGCCGGCGCTAGAGAACGGAGGAGGAGGAGCCCGAGGGGGCCTGTCTCCTGCACCAAGTGCGGTCGTGGAGGGCACACTGCGGCCATGTGCTGGGGAGGGTTCTCCGGGGGAGAAGACAACAGGCTACGCACTGGGGGGGCCTCCCAGGTAAGTAGACGTCCCACTTACCCAGAGCTTTCTGTTGCGCCTCTGTTTCGTGTTTGGAGCTACATTTTCCCTCCAGTGTTTTGGAGAGGTTATTTTGCACATGTTTGTGCGCCGTTTGTTTTGTCGCCTGTGTGCGCCGTGTATTCGCCTTCGGGCTTATTGGGCTTCTGTCTTTTATATATATTGCACTAAAGCCTTTGGACTGAGCCTCTGCGTCCTGCGCATGATTCATACACCACACCCACCTTCAGCACGCCTTGACAACTAGCTGCTACCGATCCATGTTTCTATGTTCGACTTGTTTTGTCTTTATTGGTCACACCTGTTTTCCATCATGTAGTTATGTCTTCCCTATTTAACACTCTGTCTCACACTGTGTGTTGTGCGTGTTTGTTCATGTTTTGGTTGTTGTATGTGAGCGGGTTTGTTCCTCCCTGCGTGGAGGTTTGTTCTTTCTATTACCTACGAGTAAAGTACGTTTTTTCGATTAGCTCTGTGTCCTGCGCCTGACTTCGTCCTACCTAACGCCTTGACACATATTTTTGCCTCTAAAAGTAAAAGTTAAATACAAACATTTGTAAGATATGGAAAATGATTAATTTGAAAATCCCCAATTAAATCAGATCTTTCAGCAGATCTTTCAGCAATCTGACGGACTTTTACGGAGTTGACAAAAATGTCATTTTTCTTCTTCATTCAAGTGGTATACACAGTAGCAATTTAGTTTTTCCTCAGTTGCTTTATGACTAAAATCCAATTAAATGTAACATATTTGAACCAAAATTCATATTATATTGTAATCTATCAGGCAGATGGAGTTGACAGTTTATGATTGTGACCATGGTGATTCCAATATTGTTTGTTTAAATCTATCAAAAGTAGAGAACTTTACAGACCATGAGTGGTCTTGTTGCACTAGTAATGAGGACATGAATAAGGGGTCCTTATGGTATAGCTGACCATTTTAGACAAATCTGACGGAGTTAACCAAATCTCTGGACACATCTTTTAGGAAGCAAGTTTTGAGAGAAATATTCTTTATAGTCACAGAGGGCTATAGCAAGAAACTACATACAATCATTTTTCAGTTAATATCCATTATTGCCAGAGAATATTTTGCAGTTTTAAAGCTAATTTCCTGTAATAAAAAATAAATAAAAATCATGGTTTATGAAGTGTTCATATGCTATCTGGGGGGCCCGACCTCCAGGGGTGTGCTACGCCAGTGGTTGAACTGATGTCTGTGCCCAGTGGGTGGTAGCATATTGGTCATTATGCAACAATACCATCGCAAGTAGAGTATAGATAGAGGATTTGTATACAGTGATCATTTACAGTTGAAGCTTTAAGCTACCTTGACAGCACATTGCCACACAATCCTTTACAGTATCACTTAATAAATACAACAACAAAAACATTAACCTTCAAAACAAAAACATCAAACTTCACAGTCAAAAGAGAAACGAGTGGCGCAGTGGTCTAAGGCACTGCATCGCAGTGCTAGCTGTGCCACTAGAGATCCTGGTTTGAATCCAGGCTCTGTCGTAGCCGGCTGCGACCGGGAGACCCATGGGGCGGCGCACAATTGGCCCAGCGTCGTCCAGGGTAGGGGAGGGAATGGCCGGCAGGGGATGTAGCTCAGTTGGTAGAGCATGGCGTTTGCAACGCCAGGGTTGTGGGTTCGATAAAATAATGTATGCGCTAACTGTAAGTCGCTCTGGATAAGAGCGTCTGCTAAATGACTAAAAAAAAAAAAAAAAAAAAAAAGAAGCCCTGACAAAGAAGAAATGACACAAACTGGGGGAGTTTCCACTTTTTCAGGAGGAGCTGCTACTATTTGTTGTTTGTTTGTTCTTGCTCAAGTTTCTGCAGCAGGTGTTTATCATAATTCACGGTTCAGGAGTTCTGGTCATGAGTTCATGAGTGAAAAGACTGATCAGAAGAGAAGCTTTGAGTGCTGAGAAACACTGCCATTTCACTGCCATTTTCAATGACATTGTTTTTTGGCCAAAGTCTGAAAAGACTCCTTGCTCATTGATTCAATAAATCGAGTCTGAAGCAATTAAATCCTTCTCCCTTTAAAGTTCCACTCACCTTAAAGTTCTTCTGACCAAAGCTTAAGTTTGTTGTGTACAGTGTGGTTTTTAGTGGTGAAAAGGCTGGAGGCTAAACACCATGTGTCAGCTGTGCAGTGGTGTGACAGTGAATCCATGCTGTCAGACTCAACCAGCTCGGCTCTCTCATACACCGGCTGCAGTCCTGTGTTTTAGGTCAATTTCCTCAAATCTCTTGTATTTCTTGTATGACACGACCATCGAACAATTTTGCTGAGTTCATACGAAATGTTACCTAAAAAATGTGACTAGCATGGATGATAGGGCAAAATTTAGATTTTCGCCTAAATAGACATACCCACACGTAATTATTTTTCATGAGATGGCCATAAACAATAACTGGTAATGTTGCATAGTTTTAAAAAGGTCTGGAACTCACCTTTCTGGTAAAAAAAATGTTTTAATTGCTGAGGTGTACTCACTTTTGAGGACACAAGCGCAAATACATAGTATAAATATTGTGAAAATATGAAAAATCATATATATTTTTCCTATTCAACAAAAGTGGAGCAAAAGGGCTTGAAATCACTGAAATGATTTCTAAATATAGTAACAATCAAGTTATAAAGGACTTACTGTAAGATTTCACATTTGTTATAACTGTCAAATATATATGATCATACTGACAGTACAATATTGACACTATTTCATATAACTGCCAACAGAGAATTTTCTCCTAAACGTCCACTGAGTGACGCAGAGACACCATTCAAATGTGTGTAGACTCGTTACAACTTCAACTTTAAGCACAAAGTAATTTTGGCCATCTGTGACCAAGAGAAAGTGGTATCAGAGCCATATATTCAGAGAGTTAGGCCAAGTTTTAGAATTTTGAATATTGTTCTAATTCTAGACATTCAGTTACATAGCTTTGTTTAAATATTCCCCATGTAATGTTAATGGGGAGCTAACATGGCTGCCATAGAATGATGAAGTGTCATGTAAATGCATCATAATGCAGAAACTACATTGGCCCAACTCTGTAAATACCTGTCTCTGAGTGTTATTGTTTCAATTCAATGAAAATATTTCATATTTTTTCATGTTGAGAGCTCTAAATCCAGCAGAGAATATCACAGCGAGATGAAACTACAATTGCTAGATCCACTAGACTGTTACCATTCATATGCCGTCTCACAGGCTGGGCCCACTCACTCAGAGGAAAATAACTCTTAGCAGAGTTGCCAACAACCGGATGTATCTGGTTTTCAGGGATACAGCTATTTCAACCTAGCTTCCTTTTCCACTGAAAACCGGATGTGGGAACTTATGCCTACTATGTTAGGTTAGAGGAAGAGTAAATCTAGTTTTTGTCTGGATAGGCCAGAAAATGTGACATCACGCCCTATGCAAATGTAGGGTGTGAAAGCTGACACTTCATGTCAGCCCTGCTAAGAGAGTGAAAGGGGAGAGCAGACAGAGGGGGCTTTCTGGCATTATAAGGCACAGGACCCTATGGCATTCACAGAGCGCTTTGTACACCAAAATGTCAGTCGGAACTGGTTCAGAACTGCTTATATGGGAGACTTAACATCTTTAACTATTCAATACAATATTTTCTCATTATTTTCAATATTTACACTGTTTACCTTGCAATTTAACTTACTCTGTCTGAAAATACATATTACAGAATAGTCACCTGGCATGACCTTTTCCCCTGGAGGATTCTGCCTCCAGTCCATGGCCCAACTCCTATGCAGGAGGCCTGAGCTGAACAACATCATAACCCAAAGTTATAGTTTCTGTGACTCTGCCTCTCAACACTGAAACAATCATAATGCACAAGATTTAGTGGGAAATGGTGATGTTGACAGACATTAGCATTGCAGTGGGTTTTGCCAGTAGTACTGTAGGTCTAAAGCCAGAGCTACTGTCAGAACTCTGTGGAGAACTGTGTGACATCAGTCTGTAAGTCGTCCTGGACTGTCCGTGAGCGGGAGTCTCCAGGCCGCTGCTCCATTCCTAGTCATACAGGCTTCCTCACCAACTCTCTCGGAGCACACACGGTGGTGGGCTCTCGCGTGGAGTTGCGGGCTCTGGAGAAGCTGCTCTGGTCCATGTTGGAGCGGAAAGGCAGGCAGAAATCCCTGAAGCACCTCTTGAAGTTCTCGTCTAGGAAGGCGTAAAGCAGGGGGTTGAGGCTGCTGTTCATGTAGCCCAGCGCAATGCACAGGTGCCAGCTGGCGATTACGTAGGGGTTCATGCTGTTGATCTGCACCATGGTCCTGAGGATGATAAAGATGTGGATGGGCGTCCAGCAAATTATGAATGCCGCCACCACCACCAGGACCATGCGGGTAATGCGCCGCATATTCCGATCTTTCTCCTTGGAGCCGGAGAGCAGACGGACACTCTTCAGGCGGAGAATCATCAGGCCGTAGCAGATGGTGATAACCAGGACTGGCACCACGAAGGCAAAGATGAACACGCAGATCTTAGTCACCGCGTCCCAGTACCAGTCTGGCTGAGGGAACTGCAGCATGCACCCTGTATTGCCTGAGGGATAAACAATCAAATGGTTAGCATATGGATATGTGGATGTTGGTGTCTGGAGCACATACGGTACAGCTCATATGGACTGCTCACCTTTGTCTGTCACCTTGGTAACCGCCATGACCATGATGGGCACTCCGATGGCAGAGGAGAGGATCCAGATGCACACGTTGATCATCTTGGCCTTGGCGGGTGTTCTAAAGTCCAGGGCCCTGACCGGGTGGCACACAGCGATGTAGCGGTCCACGCTCATCATGGTCAGGGTGAACATGTTGTAGTAGTCGATGGCGAGGATCACTTTACACAGAAACTCGCCGAAGAGCCAGGTGTTCATCAGGTACTTGGCACTCTGGAAGGGCAGAGTGCTGGTAGCCAAAGCATCGGCCAGGGCCAAGTTGAAGATGTAGATGTTAGTGGCTGTCTTCATTTTGGTGTATCTGGACAGAGAGAGGGCAATGTTGTTTATTAGCTTGGCAAATACTGTAGATCCAGGGTCTCAGAAGGCAAGGTATCTATATTGCACTGAGGAGTAATTGACCCAGATATTGGATAATAGAGCACTCTCTTGTGTGGTCGTGAGTCTGGTTCAAAGAACAATAAAAACTGCCAATCCTCTCTTACTGTGCTAATGCATTCATTACAGATACACTTAGCGTGAGACCTTGATTTAGCCTTTTCAATCTACTGTTGATGACTGTGTTGTATTTGCACTGAGAATGTATTATTATGGAGTTTCAATATGGAGCTTTAATACTGTATGCTGTGCTTGAGGCCTTGCCAGTTTAGCTCTATGGAGATTTTTGGTCTTTGTTTAATGTATTGTGTTCTGTCTGGCTTCACCTGAAAGCATCAGCTAATTGGTTATCATATTGAGTCCAACCTTCAGAGAGAGACATTGCTTAGAGTACATGCATCTGGTTCCCCAGGCAGGCAGATCCCACCCATTATACTCCCCTCACTGTAATGTTAATGAAGGAAAGTGGATCAAAGTGAGTGACATTGAGTGAGTCACCATTAAAATGCAGTATTGACACTTTTCTGAGTTTAGCATGGATTAAATGACAGATTAACATTTGCAATTGATAGTTGTCAGTCAGAGCTCCTTTGAAATTAGTTTGATGAGTCAGATTTCTGATGAGGGGGAAGTGCTTCCAAATTATCTAATGAACACGGTGTGATATCTGTCACACCAACGCACCCAACTTAACATCTTCTTAGTTACTCCACTTCGACTTTCCACAGGAAATGACATCATAATTTCATATATAATGGTACTGTTTATTCAAGGCCCTGGTGCAGCCAGAAGAGAAGTCAATACTTCAAATCAAAGCTGAGTTCTATAGAGAGTACAGTACCAGGTTCATAGGCTACTGTATCTTTAAGGCCAAAAAATCACAGTTCACAATTTGCAACATGACATAATATTCTGCAACAATTCACAATATCTTCTTACACACACTTAAAGTACATAACACAGCCAATCATGTAATAAGCATCACATAAAAGCAACAAAAGTTCAGTTGGCTACATTATAATGTATTAAACATAATGTATTAAACATTTTATGATGACATTGACAAGACATTGACAATTTTTGCTTGTGAATTTGTTATATAAATGTTTTATGTAAATGGAATTCATTTAAATCGTTCCTACATGTCTTTGTGTCACTTACAGCCAGGTAGCACTATACAATTTAACAGTGTTGTAAAGTAATTAAGTAAAACTACTTTAAGGTACTACTTAAGTCGTTTTTGGGGGTATCTGTACCTTACTATTTATATTTTTGACAAATTTTAATTTTACTCCCATACATTTATTTTATTTTATTCCCATACATTTTCCCTGACAGCCAAAGGTACTCGAATGCTCAGGTAGGACAGCAATATGGTCCAATTCACACAACTATTCATATAACGCATTGTCATCCCAACTGCCTCTGATCTGGTGGACTCACTAAACTCAAATACTGTGCTTGTAAATTATGTCTGAGTGTTGGAGTGTGCCCCTGGCTGTCCATACATTTTAATAACAAGTAAATTGTGCCATCTGGTTTGCTTAATATAAGGAATTTGATGTATCGCATTTACTTTTACTTTTTACTTTTACTCAAGTGTGGCAATTGAGTAATCTTTCCAGCACTGTACTTAAGTAAATGTAAAAACTGATACTTTTAGGCTTTTACTCAAGTAGTATTTACTGGGCAACTTTCACTTTTAATTAAGTCATTTTCTATTAAGGTATCTTTGCTTTTATTCAAATATGACAATTGAGTACTTTTTCCACTACTGCAATTTACCTGCTTGATGCTAGAGCTTGGTGGATGGTAAGGCATGAGTGGGGAGGGTTGGTTGTCTCCATCTCTCACTATGAACCTGTGGCCCTATATAGCTATCCCAAATCATGTGAGTTAGCTGGAGGATGCAAATGCCTCTAATCATATAATAAAACTATATCAGTTTACTTGTGGTGATATTCAACAAAAAAATTATATCACTTTACAGTAAAAAACTGACATTTTAAGACTGCTTGTATCCATTATTTCCATTAGGGTCCCCAAAAGAGCTACAGTAGATAGGCTTTCTTACCTCACTACTCCATACATAACGAGGATGTTTCCAAGCAGTCCAACAACGCATATAATAGAGTAAAGAGCCGTTATAGATACTGCAATTATAATACTTTTGGTGTCCTTCGAAGAACCCTTCTCGGTGTCATTGCCTCTTGATGGCAGCCCTGTAGAATCCTCAGACAATGTGGCATTGAAAGGGATCACAGAATACAGGTCGGCAAAATCAGCCGCGGACAGGGTAGTGAACTCCATCATATTGAGGTGCGATATTAGCCTAGTAGATAAAACTTCGTTATAGTCAGTGGAGTCACTGGACCGGATTCCTTTCCTGTAGTGCAGACGCCTGTGGACTCCCCAAATGCAGGTGTTATTGACCGCACGAGAGCAGACGAGGAACGTGTGAAAGTACTGGTCGGACCTCATTCAATTGTCATCACTGACGTCTCAGCCTCTGGCGAAGGTATGGAAAGATGTTCTGAAAGACAGGTATCCGGTCCTCTCTCTGTGCGAGGTACGCGCAATGCAACGGGGTGGTGACGGCGGGGGCAAGTGCAGTCTACTTCCCTTGGCGAGGACGCACTGGTAGTAAGCAAGACACGGGTAGGTGTGCTTTATCGCTTAAGTTGCTCTCTAATGTTCTAATTGACAGTAGGCTAAATGGCACAGTTAATGGGCATCGAGGCGACAGCCTGCATGATAGCCTACCCTAATGGATAAAATGCTAAAATGAAAGGCTGGTTGCTAAAATGAAAATAATATGCAGTAAAACATTGCCTATTATTTTCAGGCCCGCACAGTTTTCAAAAAAATAAATGGCTTGGTTTCAACAACCATTTCTAACCAAAATATTGCTTAGGGACACTTATGACAGCAACAACAATGGGCCTCATTCATTAACCGTTCTTACGAAGTAATGTGTTCTTAAACCCCATTTACGCACTTTTTACGAAGATTCTGACATTCACTAATGTTTTCTCGTCTTGGATTTGTTCTTAGCTAAGAACAAAATCCACGCACACTCAGAGCATTCTTACGCACATTTGAGTGATGACAGTTTGCTCCAAATAATTGGTTACTGTATTTCATTTAATTTTACAATGAAAGTATTTTACTGTAATGTATTTCTGATCATTTGTTGGGAAAAAAATCATAGTATGCAAAGAAACACTAACACTGCAATTTACATCAGCAATTAAGCTGATTAAATCCTGCATTATGTGGTGATTGATCGCGCTATTTATAGGGCCAAAGTGGGCCTGTTTCTGCACATCAGGCATGCTATCAAAAAGGCACATCTATTGCTGCTTGACGACATTGCCGAGCATGCTCTGAGAAGGGAACGCATCTTTGAGGATCACGTTGATTTATTTGCAGAGACTGACGAGTACTTGATCGGACAGTTTAGGCTTCCAAGACACGTTTTAATGGAGCTGTGTGATACTTTGGAGCCAGCGCTGCGAAGCCATACCCAACGGTCCAATCCCGTACCACCTCATGTGCAGGTACTCTCCACTTTGGGATTTTTAGCCACTGGGACATTTCAGCGGGAGTTAGCAGACCGGGTGGGCATATCACAGCCATCCATCAGCCGCGCTCTCCCACGAGTTGTGGATGGAATAAATCAACTGGCCACACAATATATTTTCTTCCCCTACACAGCGCAACAACAGCTGCCGGTCAAGAGAGGGTTCTACTCTATTGCGGGTCTGCACAACGTAATCGGGGCAATAGACTGCACTAACGTGCGCATTAAGGCACCCTCACCAGACCCATTCCCATACCTCAACCGCAAGCAATATCACTCAATGTACAAGTCATCTGCGACTCCGACAACCATCTCTTGAACGTGGTTTCCCGCTTCCCAGGAGGTGCACATGAGGCTTATATTTTGCAGAACAGTTCTGTGGAGATGCGCCTGGAACAAGGAGCTGCTGGAGACGCATGGCTCATTGGTAAGCATCGTTCAGTAATTTCAAATTCCAATAGTTGGTTTCAAAAAGTGGGTTTCTTCATTAATTACTTGTTTCATTAGGAGATCGGGGGTATGCCCTTGCGGCCTGGCTAATGACGCCACTAACAAACCCTCAGACACACCAAGAGGCCTCTTATAACCAGAGGCACGCACGCACCCGCTCCACCATTAAGCGAACCATTGGTATTCTGAAGGGACGCTGGATGTGTTTGGACACAGCAGGTGGTAAGCTGCTTTACACGCCAGAGAAGGTGAGTAGGACTACTTGTTTTATTCAGGTTAGAAAAATGGAGAACATGTTGTAGAATCATCTAATTCCAACAATTCATTTTATTTAGTTTTTCTAGCTTTTGATAATCTTTACACCGTTTTTAGGTCTGCAGAATAATCATGGCTTGTTGTGTGTTACACAACATCGCTATGAAGCGTGGTGTTCCACTTCCACTTCAGCCACCACACCAGGATGTGCATCCTGACCTATTGCTGGGTCCAAACAAGACTTGGCGTGGAAGTCAGACAACAAATAATTTGCCGTTTTTGATTTGTTTTGTCCTTTAAATATACGAATTAAACACATGAAATGACACAGGTTTCAGTGCGCGTTCTTTATATTTTTTAATGTGTGTTTATGTGTTTGAGTGTTTCTGATATTGTGGCCAGAGTAGAAGCGATTTCAGAGACTCCATCGGACGACACGTGCAGTTGGACGAGACCTGGGGGCACATACAGAGGCAGGCCTACTGCAGGAAGGCCGAATGGTGTCAGGTTCCTCTTCAGAGGGGTTGCCTGGATTGGAGATCTGTAAATAACAAAAACGATACTGAAAGTAAAACAGTCACAGTGCACAGATTTGTTTTTGTTGATGTTTCAGTTTGTTCAATATAGGCCTACTGCAAAAGCAATAGGATTTCAAACTGAATAAACTAGGAATTCAGGTGAGGACTCATTCACAGTCACATAGGCCCACATTTGGTTTGACAAACTGGTGTAAAATTCCTTTCCAATGGTTTCACCATTGCTTTCAGTTAAATTATGGCATGAAATTGTATAAATTCAGAAAGACTTGCTTACCGTCTGATTCACTGGTGGGAGATGGCCTTGGAGGATATGAAGCTGTTGATATAGGGCCCTTGTCAGTGTCCAGTTGCTCCGCTGATGGCACACCTGAGTCAATCTCAGATAACTCAGGGCCTGCATGCCCCCCTCCAGTGGTCAGCATATGTCTCTTATGTTTGGCAATTGATTTTTTGGTCTCTGATTTTAAGTCAAACCATTTCTTTTTTACATCTTCAATTGAGCGACGTTTTCCAGAAACAGAGTTCACGGAATCCGTGATCTCCTTCCATGCCTCCATTTTGTTGGTGGCTTTAAAAGCACTGGAAACACTACTAAATATTATGCCTCGTTTGGCATTTACCTGTTGTAGTAGAATTTCTATTTCAGAATTACTGAAGTTCCTTTTTCGTTTGGTGATCGGTGGACCACCACCGTCTGTGCTTCTTTTGGACATTCTCCAACTTTTCTTGCACACGGCCCTGAAGTGTAATGTCCTTATATGGGAATTTGCGGGACATTTTCTTATGCTAATTAGGAACAACTGGCACATGCTTTCAATTACGAAGACTTGGAATTCATCCATCCTATTGGTGAATGAGGCCCATTAATATTAATTGATGGTGTAGCTTTTTTTTTTGTAAAGAGAGGTGAGAAAGGTACTGTATCTTGGAAGACTTATCATTCATTCATATTTCCACATAATCTATGGGACCTGTATTTAGACCTGGATAGCTCACCAGAAAACATACCATAATGACAACATTTCTCTTAATATCTGTCTCATGGGGCAATTTATTGCATGGGTTATTGGGTTTCATCAACATTCCTGTGGCTTTTATCACCTGCCATACAGTTTATGCTCCTCTCCCTCTCACCACCCCCACACTCTACTTACTTTAATATTAATATACAGTTGAAGTCGGAAGTTTACGTACACTTAGGTTGGAGTCATTAAAACTTGTTTTTCAACCACTCCACAAATTTCTTGTTAACAAACTATAGTTTTGGCAAGTCGGTTAGGACATCTACTTTGTGCATGACACAAGTAATTTTTCCAACAATTGTTTACAGACAGATTATTTCACTTATAATTCACTGTATCACAATTCCAGTGGGTCAGACGTTTACATACACTAAGTTGACTGTGCCTTTAAACAGCTTGGAAAATTCCAGGAAATGATGTCATGGCTTTAGAAGCTTCTGATAGGCTAATTGACATCATTTGAGTCAATTGGAGGTGTACCTGTGGATGTATTTCAAGGCCTACCTTCAAACTCAGTGCCTCTTTGCTTGACATCATGGGAAAATCAAAAGAAGTCTGGTTCATCCTTGGGAGCAATTTCCAAACGCCTGAAGGTACCACGTTCATCTGTACAAACAATAGTATGCCAGTATAAACACCATGGGACCACGCAGCCATCATACCGCTCAGGAAGGAGACACGTTCTGTCTCCTAGAGATGAGCTTACTTTGGTGCGAAAAGTGCAAATCAATCCCAGAACAACAGCAAAGGACCTTGTGAAGATGCTGGAGGAAACAGGTACAAAAGTATCTATATCCACAGTAACAACTGCACATAGGGACAAAGATCGTACCTTTTGGAGAAATGTCCTCTGGTCTGATGAAACAAAAACAGAACTGTTTGGCCATAATGACCATCGTTATGTTTGGAGGAAAAAGGGGGATGCTTGCAAGCCGAAGAACACCATCCCAACCGTGAAGCACGGGGGTGGCAGCATCATGCTATGGGGGTGCTTTGCTGCAGGAGGGACTGGTGCACTTCACAAAATAGATGGTGTCATGAGGAAGGAAAATAATGTGGATATATTGAAGCAACATCTCAAGACATCAGTCAGGAAGTTAAAGCTTGGTCGCAAATGGGTCTTCCGAATGGACAATGACCCCAAGCATACTTCCAAAGTTGTGGCAAAATGGCTTAAGGACAACAAAGTCAAGGTATTTGAGTGGCCATCACAAAGCCCTGACCTCAATCCTATAGAAAATGTGTGGGCAGAACTGAAAAAGCATGTGCGAGCAAAGAGGCTTACAAACCTGACTTGGTTACACCAGCTCTGTCAGGAGGAATGGGCCAAAATTCACCCAACTTATTGTGGGAAGCTTGTGGAAGACTACCCGAAACGTTTGACCCAAGTTAAACAATTTAATGGCAATGCTACCAAATACTAATTGAGTGTATGTAAACTTCTGACCCACTGGGAATGTGATG